TCATATTACAGCCCACAGCTGAACTCTCCTGGTTCACTCTCACTGCTCTTATCAGTGTTGTTATCTGCATAAACAGAACTTTTCACAGATGCCTAAAAACCCACTCTACCTGCCCAACACCAACAGACTGACGATGTTTACTAATCTGTTAGAGTAAATGCTACAGTCTGACCTACTCACTGCCCCATCTGTTTACTTTACTGATTCAAAGAACATTACAACAGATTAATGTTAGTCCAATATGTACGTTTTGGAAACACACCAGGCAAGCGTTGGTTTTTAAAATGTCGATACTGGTGCGGCAGCATTTTCCATTTGTGGTCCCTCTTGAGTGCAGCAAAAAAAGCTGCATTAAAATGTAATTTCTTTTTAATTTTCATTTAACAGCTCAATAATGCTTTATAAATTAATTCCTCATTTACAGTGGGTTGTGTATCCCAGAGTTTCTCCTCGCTCATTTAATGGGGCAGATGAACCAGAGGAGAAGCTTACTCAAAACAAAGATGGATTTCTACTGAAGAGTTTTACTGTCCCGTCGTGGTCTAAAACACATTTTACAACCACTGCTAGAAATTAGGAAAATGAAAATTTCCATCAGGGGAAATCCTCAGAATCCATATAAACAACAGTTTGTGGTGCAGAGTACTAAATGACCAACAGAAATGCTGCTGGGTGCATCAGTTTGGAACAAGGCTGTTTTTGATGCTCTGAACTTAAACTTAAGATTTTGTATCTGTGTTTGAATATTCAAGCCAGTGGCACCAGCAGCTGTAACAACATCGTATTTTGGCTTAAAATACCCTGTTTGATAGTTACAAACACAGCTATACATGACCAAAACCCGCGTTAAAAAATACTTGCTTTTGTTGGTCTTAAACAGTAGTCTGCTGCTGCCATCTCATGTAGGCGTTATGCCATCCACCTTTCCATCCAGCACCTGATGAGAAACTATGAGTGCACGATATATATCGACCAATAATGGAGCATTTTTCTAAATATGCATTATTCTGCTAATTTAAAGAGGCACCAGATAGGATTCAGGTTTTGTTAGCATGGCGCCACCTAGCGTCAGCAGTGTTGCTCGCACTGTCGCAAAGACCAAATTGACCGTGGGGATCAGAGATAATCATGTCTTGTAGGCTGTAAAATGTAGGCCGTAAAGCAGAGTAGAATGTAGAATGAGAAGGTGTGTGGACACTATACTAAATAAATGAGTAAAGAGACCAAGCAACAATTATCAGATTTATCTGAAGAAAAAAACAAATAGTAATGCAAATAATTATACCAGAATGCACAGTACCAGTACAAACAACTCACAGTAAATTATAACAATATGTACAGTATCAGTACAAACAACAGTAGACACGTAAGGGATAATGTATAGTGAGCCGGTGACTGTTGAAAAATAACTCCCGACAGGGGAATGGAACCCCGACGTGCAGTGGAGTTATTTTTCAATTGTCACCGGCTCACTATACATTATCCTGCTTAGAACATGGCTAAAACATTCAAATGTTACAACTGGCATCAATATTATTAAACTGCTGGCAGAGTGTATTGACAGGGGAGAGGTGTTCACCAGACAAAGGGGAGCTGAGGAGAGGATTTTACTCCACTTCTCCCGGTCGGAGAGGCTGGGTGCCCAGTAGCTGCAGCGGCGGCGGTGGGGTGGTGGATGTAATCGCTGTCCGAGGGCTGCCTTAGAATGGCAACGAGGATGTCAGCCGACCAACACTCGCTACCCGGTCCCTGGTTGCAGCGATTTGCGATGCTGGCCAGCTAGGAATGAACTAGCAGCCAGTACAGTACAGTACAGTCCTCTCTTGGCTAGCTAACATTTAGCTGGGTTACTTACTGATTCATTAGAAAGAAAGCTAGCTGGACATGGGTTTTGAAGCCTCTTTGGTCACAGAGCTCCCTCCATCTCTTGAATACCTGATTGAGGTTTACTTTTGTTTTTCCTCTTCTTTTATCACTCTCCTTTTTGTGCATCCTCGCCTCCTCAGACAGAGGAGCAATTATTTTCTTTTGGGAGGCCGTTTTTCACTTATCTCCAAACTTTGTCCGTCTGCCATTGTGCTCCTGACTCAACTATCTCATGCCCCAGCCAGTTCCTCATAAGGACCAGCTCCAGTCCCTGATTGGCTGACCGACCAGTTTGGCAATACATGACGCCTTTCCTGCCGTAAAGCAAATTTTTTTCCCGCGAAAATTCGTCCCCAGTGGCAGAAACGTATTGCAAAAATTGCAAAGCCATTAAGTAACCTATGTAAACGCTGATAGTCTGATTTTACTGTGTATACTACCCTGTGCAACCCACATTATTTTCATAATGATATATATAGGCAAAAATGCTGTCTGTTGCTTCTTTAAATTATAGGTGATAAAGTCTGCCTTGCCATTCTTGAACTACATTTTCTATGACAGTCTGTCTGTTGCTAGGCAACAATTCATTCATGCCCATATACACCTATTGGTGTCAAAACATACTGTAAAGGTGGAGTCTACAGCTGTGTCTCAATTCAGCGGCTGCAGCCTTCGAAAGCTGCATTTGAAGAGAGATTGTGTCACATCAGGGCGACCAAGGATGTCCTATTTCGAAGGCTTCTTTCAAATTTGGCTGAGAAATGCAGCCTTCTTTTCCAGCATTTGGAGGATGCAATGGATGAATCCTTCCTGGCCCAGCCTATCCCAAGATACACTGCGCACCGGTGACAATTATATATTAAGGTAAGTTAACTATGATTGTTGACTAGCTAACGGTTAACTGTTGTTAACATTACTATTAGCTAAAAGCACACAGCGTAAACAATCTTATTTAATAAGTTTACCTGAAAACGGTTCATCAGCCTGAAACTATATATATATATATATATATATATGTATATGTGTGTGTATATATATACATATATATATATATATACATATATATGGCGGTGTCTCCGGCAGTGAATCATCTCAAGTATTATATTAAAAAAATACATATATAAGAACAATCTCTGGGTCCATGATTTGGGGCTAACTAATTTACTAGCTTACTCCTTCTTTTGTCAAGCACAGCTGGTTGCTAGGTAACAGCAACGCCAACTGGTCGGGGTGAGGACAACTGGTGACGCAACCAGGAAATCCTCTACAGATTAGAACGGTTTGGCTGATGCGGTCTTCAGAGAACACGGCCGATGTCGACTGCAAAGGCCGCGGTCTTCAAAGGCTGCAGCCCCTGAATAGCTTATATAGACATAGCTTATGATTCTTGAGAAAGACTCATGTCAATAGAACTCAAAACCAAAACACATACAAATGGACTTTGCCATGGCAATGACAGTAACAGCTGGACAGCCATCTGATCAGAAGTAGATATGATAGAACACAGCATCTGCTGCCCGAGGGTGAAATCAATTAATCAAGTAACGTTACACAGACAAAAACGTGAAATTCCATGGGAAATAATGTGAGTTTTTTTTTTTTTTTTTCCTTGTACCAAGTTTGCGAAGTAATATATCCGACATTATTTCAGTGTTTTCCACAGAATTAGTTTCTATTTGTGGTAGTGGCAGAGAGACATGGACTGTCAGTTAGCCTTCAGTACGCCACTGTAGCAGCTAGAATTCAGCCAAAGCAAACCCCAGCTTCAGGGGTCTAATCCTGGACTGTAATGATTCCCTGTCAGCCAGACCGGCAACTGTTTATTGCTAGTTCGACCAAGCGCTGCCACTGGCAACCAGTCCCCTGTGACCGCCGACAGTGGGGTCTCGGAGGGCTGCTATTCCCTCTCCTTCCAGCTAGTTAAGCTAAGCTGAAAAATCATGACAACAATTTATGAAGAAATCTTATTTGCAATGAGAGCACCAACATTTTCATTTGTTTTTTTTAAGTGTTATTTAAAAAATATTAGAAAGTGTCATAATTTAAAAGCAGTAAACACTCTGATTGCAGAAAATATTTAGTAACATGATTTCAGTGCATTATCCATCACGTGCAGCTGTGTAGCCTATTGTCAAACTGTTTTCATGGTAAACATACTTTGATTTATTTCATTTCCTCTGAAAAGGTGCAGCGGCTATATGCAATATAAGAGAAACTGGTGTGTATCTACCTTTTTACCCCCCACTCCCTGGTCAAAAGGAGCCAGACTGAGCCACATGAAGGTGTAAAGGAGTTCAGTTCACTGTCTGAACTGGGAATAAATCCCATTTTACTTATGCTGATTCAAGGCAATATATTAATGAGAAAACCAGCCACACAGGATTCTTATATCACTATGGATTCAAACCAGACCTTTCCCTCCTCAATGAGCTATCAGCAGCTGCTCTCTAACTTAATAGCGCTCTTATCTCGCACGGTAGAAAAGGTCAAGCCCAATGGGTGAGTGTAGTGAGTGGATAGCTAACATTTAGTACTTGGATTTAAAGTATGTGTGTTAGAGACAGAGAGATAGGGAGTGTGTGTGCATGTGTGGAAGGACGTTGAATAATGTGGGTCTGAAGGGCAAAACATCTCCTTTGTGTGTGTGTAATAGCATTGAAAAATGTGGGATGATGTAGGTTGAGGGACGGCAAATTGCAGTGCAGACCTACGATTCTTAATTGGGGTCAATCCTTTTCACCATCACCTTTTTTCAAGTTTGTAAAATGTGTCATCTGTCTTTTTCATGAAAAGAAAGTTATCAGTCATGAAGATCTGTTCACCCTCTGTCATTAATTTAATGATCTGAATTATATAAATTGGAAAAAAAAGACCTTTAAGAGGTTTCCAGGAATCATCAGTATCCACCCACTCTGTGTTTTTACTCAACACTTCAACCTCCCATTCATTGTTATGAACGTAATGACACCTAATAATCCTGTGGTGCTTTCGCCTTTTGAAAAGCAGCAGCCTGCACTACTACTGGTCAGGTAATATGTACATACACACGCTCCAACACAAACACACTTATTGAACCCACACATAACTCTCTAATCTGCCTGTTGGGGCAGATGGAATAAAATAAAGACACTGACTTTTACCTTCTGAGCCCGCCGTTTGTCCGCTCTCTGGTTCTGGTGGTAGATGCGACTGAAGTTGGAGACGATAACGGGGACGGGCAGAGCGATCACCAGCACGCCGCTTAGGGAGCAGATGGAGCCGAAGATCTTCCCGGCGATCGTCTTTGGCACCATGTCTCCATACCTACGAAAGAGACAGATGGAGAGTTTAGACAAAGTGCTGACACAGATACAGGGTTCAGACTCAGGATGCACTAGGTAAGGTAACAAAAAGGTCTTTGCCCATTGGATGAGGCAGAGAAACCGGCCTATCAAAAGATAGGATAGAGTTTTTGAAAACACCTTGACATTGTGGTGCCAGAAATAAATAAAAACAGTGGCTGTGACAGTGGGAGCCCCCACTCCAAGACAGGCAGGGGTTCTTAAGAAAAAACACCACAGGGTCCACATGGATCAGAAGAGACTAATTAATTACCATCATGTATCAAAGCTACAGGTGCTCAATAATCACATCACCTTGACACATTGACTTCTAGGAATGTGATGACAAATGAGTTTCTTTAAGAGGGAGTTAAAGAAAACATCCACTAATTATATTTATTAAAATATAAGAAATTCACTTAAAAACATACCATTATTCAAATTTAATGTTAACATAATTTCCAGCTCTATGTGGTGATACACAACTAGCAAGGCTGAATCAATCTAGCAGGTCTGGGAAGTTCCCTGATCTGACGTTGGCTGTGTCCTACATGTACTTTGTGTCATTTTATTTTAAGGTATTCTGCCAACAATCCCACTGGACATTGGACTGCATTTAATACATGTGAAAATTACTTATTTGATAAGACACTACACCTGTCAGTGAGGACGCAAAATACCAGTGTCAATATACTGCTCGGGGCAGCACAGTGGTGTAGTGGTTAGCATTGTAGCCTCACAGCAAGAGGGTTCCTGGTTCAATCCCATGAGGGAGCCCTTCTGGGCGGAGTTTGCATGTTCTCCCCGTGTTTGTGTGGGTTTTCTTCGGGTACTTTAGCTTCCTCACACAGTCCAAAGACATGCAGGTTAATTGGAGACTCTAAATTGCCTGTAGGTGTGAATGTGAGCGTGAATGGTTGTCTGTCTCTATGTGTCAGCCCTGTGATAGTCTGGTGACCTGTCCAGGGTGCACCCTGCCTCTCACCCAGTGTCAGCTGGGATAGGCTCCAGCCCCCCTGCGACCCTCAAGAGGGTAAGCGGTTACGAAAATGGATGAATGGAATATATATGCTCACTATAGAGTTAAACCTGCATTTAGTCTTGCATAGCCAGACCTTTCTCGCACTGTGCCATCACTGGAGAAAAGTTTGGCTGAACCAAACATAATTCCTGCACTAAGGGGGAAAACGCTCTGGGTTGTTTGTATTTCTTTAAACCAATCATAGGTGTCTGGGCAGTGCTAAGCCCACGATGCGGAAACAATGCCCTTGCAAAATATTGTTGGGAGGGAACTTGTTTTGGTGATAAGCAAGTGCTGGCTTAAGTTCCTAAATCGCCCCCAAAATACGTTTTAGTATCTACAATGCTAGCTCATAAGTTGGTGGTGTTTAATGCACAGTGCTAAACAAAATACGGAGCTGGGTCTGGCTATGCAAGACTAATTTTATGTAGTGATCAGTGTTAGTTTTGCTGATGAAAACTATGTAAAAAAAATTGGCAACAACCTTTTTTCCATGATAAAAATGAGACAAAAGATAACAGTAGATCTTGATAATAAAAACTAAGACGAAATCTATGTTTCATTTTTGTTAAGGAGACAAGACGTGACAAAAATGTTAGTGGTGGACTATCAGACACTGAAAGCCGAGAGCAGCTGTGCTTGTAATTATCTTCACATGCCACATGAGCGACAGGCTGGCAAACTCCAGCAAATAGACTGTGCCAGGATGTTTTGCTAGCCAGCAAAAACACTCACACCGAAGCAGTGTCAGCCTCTGGTGTAAGTTGCGAGCTGTAATTCAGCAGTAAATCAGCCCTGTGTGTCTGGCTGTGGGTGGTGGAGCGGTGGCTGGGGGGTGCGGGGACAATATTTTTGGGGTGCTGGTGTAGCCGGCGGATATCCAGGCTGAGATTTCCTCTTCTGTGCGCCAATCAATGTCAGCAGTTCAATTAGCAACTGACACATCTAGCCAACATTTTGACTAAACTCTATGAAGCGATATCTGCATATGAAATCAGATAAAAGAGTAAAAAGCCAATAATAAGCTAACTTGTCATCTGACAATAGCCAGTGGGTTCTGAGACTGTACTCTGGCCAATGCGTCCTGCCTCTTTTGCTCTCCACACAGACGGTTTACCTGCAGGGAACTAACGCCAGCTCAGATGTTACTGACCAAAACAATTTAGACTTCCTGTCACCTACAGCTTCTCCTCACTAATGCGGATATCTGTTTATTGAAATGAATGCTACACCATCACAGCTCATCTCTGCACCCAGAAGTCTGTTAACACTTGTTCGTCACTCAGCGCTACGTCCCATGTTTCATTGCTTTGATTCGTTATAGGCCAATCTGATTGCATCCAGAGGCATTTTGATCTACAGCCATTAAAAATGCTCCTTGGAAACAACAATGTAATGGGAGGCTTGAGACTAACTTGCATGTGTGATTTGGTCTGGTTATCTCAGGCTGGTTGTTCTCAGCTTCTTTTGGGCCTCAGCTAATTTGACTACACAGGTGACTGCCTGCTGTAACAGGTGGACAAATGTAGAGAGATAGGACCACTGCTATCTATGCAGCTCAGACTGGGCACAACAAAGCCATGCCACTGGGATCCAGGGCCAAGAAGAAGCCAAGGTTGACTCGCTGGCCAAAGCTGTGGGCCATGATGGCGTGTAGTGGAACAAATTGATTTTAAAATACAGGCTTCTAGGACGAGCTTGTAAGCGGGTGGGAAAAGACTAAAATTGTCTCCCGGAGAGGCGGCTGACTTCAGATTAAAGTAGTGTGATGTGAAGCAATGGGAAACATTATTTGCTGGTGCATGATAGGTACCATTCTGAGAGAAAAACAGCGTAATTAGAAAACGAGGAAGACAACAGGGGGGAGGAAAGACAAGTGCATATTCTGCATAAGGGACTGTTCTTGTAACCAAAGTCCTCGACAGACAGATTTTCTCAAGGGCCACTTTAAAAAACGGATTGAGCACGGGGGTTTGATTCTGATCCTCAAAGTTTCACTAAAACATTTGCACTTGTCAAAAGGGCCTTTTTTAGCTTCCTCTCTGGCCTCTTTGGCTCCTCTGACTTTCCTCTCCACTGCATTCTCGACACAACGAGACTCTTGACAGGTAAGCCCCATGCACTGTTGACCACTGTGCCTCTTGAGGGCCGCTCTCTGCTCAGACGTGGGTGGGTGCTGGCTTTCCACTCTTCTGACTGTTTTTTTTTTTTTTTTTTTTTTTTTTTTTAGGCCCAAAGCTCCCACTCTCCATGCTGAAAAGCGCTATAATCACTAGACTTACCTCCTGCTTACTACCCACAAACTGAAGAGCCGGGGGATTATCACAAACCCAGCCTTCTGCTCTGCCTGAACAAATATGTGCGAGAGGGAACGACGTGATGTTGCTCAAATCCTCTTTGAAAATTACTTTTTCTATAATTTTTTTATCTTGCAAAGTAGAGAGGAGCACAGACGATGCAGACCGCAATTAAAGGCACAAATGAGTTGAACAGACAATTGATTGACATGCTGTTTGAACTTCTTTTTCCTATGTCTTACAAAGAATTGACCTGCATCAACCGATCCTGATGAAATCATCTGGTCAAAGTCAAGCAAAAATGAACATCAAGAGTCCAGTGTGGGATTTAGGGGGACATATTGGCAGAAATGGAATATGACAAATACGTTTTCTTGAGAGTGTAATCACCTGAAAATATGAATTGCTGTGTTTTCGTTACCTTAGAATGAGTCGTATATATCTACGCCATGTTGCACCATCATGTTTCTACAGTAGCCCAGAAAAGACAAACCAAACTTTGGCTCTAGGTAGGGCCATCAGGGTTTTTGCGTCGGCAATCATAGTTCGCCTCTCTGTGACGACTATCAGAAAAACGCTGATTTTTTTTTTAAGTGAAACTGCTTTATTAAGTGTTTTTGCTGGTTTAACATCCGCCTGTTTGTTTTGGAGATAATTTGGCTCCTAGAATGAACCTCTTGAACATCTGGGGCCTTATTCACAAAGCTTCTTCGTACTAAGAGTTGCTCCAGGGAAGAAATTCTTTGAATTGTGATGTTTTCTTAGAATTTCCCCTTAAAGTTAAGGCTAGGTCCTTGTAAAGATAAAAGTTATTCACAGTGCATCTTAGACCTTAAAAGAGCTCCTAAATTGAAAAACTGTTAGGAGCAGGGTGAAGGAGTTTTAAGAGTTTCTTAAGCAGAAGAGAAAAAGGTGGAAACACAAAGAGTTCTTAGAGATATTCTCCGAACATTGGATGACAGTGAGTAAAGGGATTTGCACACATATCCCACCTAACACTAAACGCCAGAAATATAATGATCAAAAAACAAAGACATTTGGAAAACTGGAAAAATGCAACAGAGCAGCAGTGATGACTTGAGTCTGTCTCAATCTTCCATCAGCAGAATGATCACACTAACACTGACAACACTTTCGAAGTCAGCAGTTCATTTCATTTCCACTGGGTGTCCACAACTTGCAGGCTCACAAAAGGGCGTGTCTGTGACAACCAATCACATCTGTTAAAAGAATGCATTACACCAAGCAATGGGGTCAACCACATCACATGGTAAAAGTTTCTGTCTCTTCCTTGCTCAGACTTGCTCTGAGAACTTTCCCAAATCACTCTTAAATTAGGATTTCTTACTAAAAGTTTTTAGGCTCAGTTAGGAGCTCTCTAAAAGTATTCTCAGAATGTTTGTGAATATGGACCCTGGATATTAAGTTATCAGAAAAAAGGTGAGCACACATTAGCAGGTACTGGGCTAGCGGCTTGTCTGCGATGTGCCAAACAGTCTAGGAGGAACACTGATTTGTAACGTGAAACTGCTTTACTCTGTGTTGTAACAGTTTTAATGAAGAAGGAATACTGAAGGAATTATAACAAGGTTTCAGCTGATTGCATTCTGCAGTCCTCACCCCTAGATGCTACTAAATGACCCTAAATCTTACACACTGTCCCTT